CAAACACAGAAAGAACAAATTTTTCCTATCACAGTACAATGGTAGAAGGAGAATAGCTCAAACTTTCTTGGTCTCTATGATTCACATTTTATTTAACAGAAACTGTCCTTCTAAAGACTGCAAGATGCATTTACTGAGAAAGAAGAAGAGCAAAATAAGCTTCACTTGGGTTTCTATGAAGGCACTAAGACAGAAACCGCTTAGTTTTTAAAGCGCCTTGGCTTTTCTAAAAGTTTGCCCTTCAAACTCTAACACACACCTGTATGTATCCGTATCACATTACTGTCAGCTTCTTCCTGTTTCACTAATGAGTGAGTAGAGACAGGGAAAGGGGAAGGAGCTATTTGATAGAGTAGAACAGGCAAGAATAAAAAGGTTTGTAGCATTGGGATAGAAACATGCACGGGCTGCTGGGCTATGAATTTTAGGCCATCTTTCTGTTTGCCTTGGACAAAAGTCACCAAACTTATTTAAAGATGGTCTGTAGTCTTTATAAACACCATTAATTGAATTGTCTCATGATTTAACCAAGTCCAACATTATTTGAACATTTTGTCCCCTTACTACATGTTACTTTGTACAAAGTTCATGCAGTAGAGTGGTTCATCATAATTATCATAAGAAGAAAATGTCAGGATTTCTTAAAGATAACCAATCAATCCTTGCTTAATGAGGATGAAATGATATCCTTAAAAAAGAAAAAAAAAGGTACCACATACCTACTGTAAATTGGAGATTGGATTTCTTGCTTGGGTTGCCAGCAACAGTAATGGCATTTTACCCATTCACTCCCAGTCTTTGGGAGCTTAACAAACAAAAATTTGCTTGGTCAAGAAATAAACCAGGGGCTTCACGTGGCCATAGAATCTAAAGTAAATGTCTTGGTCAGTGAGAACTGCCATAACAAATATACCACAGACTAGAGGGCTTAAACAACAAACATTTATTTTTGTCCTGCAGATGGGAAAATCCAGGGTCAAGGTTCTGGCAGATCCGGTTCCTAGTGCCTGCTTCCTGGTTTTCAGGTGGCCACCTTCCCGTAGCCTCTCAGAGCATACAGCAGAGAGAGAAGAAAGCTCTGTTGTTTTCTCTTACGAGAGCATTCATCTCATTCGTGAAGACTCAGTTCTTACACAGTAATTACCTTCCAAATACCATCACACTGGGGATTAGGCTTCCACATATGAAACATTCAGTTTCCATACTGACAGGAAATCTCTAGTCAGTACTATCAATGGCATATGGTTTTCAGAAGCGACTGTTACATGTTAACCAGTAAACATTTTACTAAAAGTTCAGTCATTGAAGAAATATATGCCCCAAGCACCTACACACACACACACACACACAACCCTCAGCACTTCAGAAGATTTTAGAAAATACAACTAAATAACTTTTTGATGCAAAAAGAAATTTTTGAAATCCCTTATCCACTTTTTGAAGCACCCTGATACAAAGTGTACTTGAGTTTTTACAACTCAGCCACTAAGTTTAGATCCTCTCCATGGCTCTCAGTAGAAAGACAATGAGGAGCTGAGCTGGCCTGGAAGCTGGGAAGATGTAACTCTGGGTGCTAGAAATGGATTGGTCAATTTGGGCTTCTACAACACGTATTTTTCTATAAATGGCAGAGGAGGAATTAACTGAGGTATGGTTGTTATGTGGTATGAAAGATAGGATAGGGAATGAGGTAGACTTCCACTAAGAGTTATTTGTTATATAGGCAATTTTGTGCACTTTAGGTCTAATATGTGTATTTTTTAAACTCAAGAATATCTTTATTAGTGGAGACATGTTCTCACATATGAAGATGCGTATATCCAAGGGCCCTTATGTCATACAACAGTGACCTTCCTCATGTCAGTTCCTCGCTGGGCCAGATCGTTCATGCCATTCACTCTATGTAACAGTTACTGAGTGCTTACTGTGTGCTGGGCACCAGTCTAAGTGCAGAGGGGGAAATAATAGTCAACAATAAGCAATCAACAAGGAAGCAACATAATTTCAGATGGAGATTAAGTACAATGAGGAGGTAAAATACCCTTCTCTTCCCATTCTGTAGCTTCTCTCCCTCCCCATCTTATCACCTCTCAAAGATCAAACTTCCTCCATCCAATCCTAAATAGACCATTTCTTCCTCTGATGGAAATCTTGGCCCCACTTCTACTTGTATCATGCCACTTTATTGCAGTTACTTATTTACCTGTCTTTCCTCACCAGACTAAGTGCTTTGGAGTAAAGGTCAAGCATGTTTTCTTAATGATTTAGTAGTTGTAATTCCTGGCATATAGTCTCTTTTTGCCCACCATTTTAACCCCCAAGACAGAGCACACAGAGCATATTCAATAAATGCCAATTAACTAAACGAATCTGTTGAAGTAAAGGAACCTAACAGGTTAGCATGGGACTACTATTGTACATCTTGAAGCTTAGTGAGAATAATTATGTTGATCTTCTATGAACATTTTAGAATATCCTCATTAAAGTCATGTTCTGTAGTTCTCATCTAGTTGTTCTCACCCAGTGTGCCATCTTTAAAACTTATTATTGCCATTTAAGATTCACACTACTTAAGTGATGTCAGAAATTGAATTGAACAGGTAGGCTGTGTGTATCAGTTTAGAGGCAAGCTCCAGGACATTGAAGAAAAGATCTTATATTTTCCAGAATCTGGAGAATTTCCTTCCGGAAAGACTTAGAGCAATGAGTTGTTTTACTCAAATAACAACACAGTACTGAGGGCCAACCAACAACATAATTGGAGGACTGTGGAAGTTCCTGAAAACACTGGTATTCTAAAGCAGGAAAAATCCTTGCAAGAACTTGGGGCCATCTGTCCAAGGGCTCTAACCAGCACAAGTTTTTGTTCAATGCCTCCTGGGGGCTACTCAGCCTAAGGTGGCAGAGGAAAAGTTTGACATTGCAAGGTGATTTAGAACTCCTCTGCATGATAATGGGTATTGTACAGGCCAAGGAGCAACCCCACAGAACTGGTTGCTTTAAACATTAATGAGAAGAATGCCTTCTATTGTTGCCAAAAGCAGTTATAGTAGAATCATGCTAAATGCTGTATTAGGCTTTAGATATCCTACTTGAACTTTTTTAAGAGTCACATCTAAAAAAATGCTACTTCTCAGGAGGCTGGTCTATATTTACAGTTCTAGTGTGCTGTTCTACACTCCCTGGAGATTTTTCTCAAGCACACATAGTTCTAGGAACAAGAATTAACTCCTGATTTGTTCTATCTACCTTCAAAGATTGAATCTACCAGGTATAGGAAAGCCCAGATCAAATGGAGTGTTACAACAAGTCCAAGGTCTTCCTCAAAGTAACCAAAACACATCTATTATATTTTGTGTCCGTAGACTTATATTTTTAGATATGTTTAGGAAGTACTAAATATTAGTGGGTAGCAAAGATTATTTTCCATTTTTATTTTGCTAATAGAAAACCAGAACCAGAAAGATACTGAATTAGAAAAATTAGAAGAAGCCTACTATTAGATAAAGCAATGGACTTCTGAATTTCCATAAGTGGTCTCCTTATTCAAGGAGGTTAGTAAGATTAATAAGGTATATAAATGTGAATTAATAGAGGGAAAATCCTGTTCTATCATTATGGTACCGATTAGTTCTAAAATTAAAAATAACTATTCTTCATGGAGCACATTCCATGTGTCAGCCAATATACTGAATGTTTCATGTAATTATATACTGTCATTCTCCCAACAGCACTATGTGGTAGATATCATTAGTCTTCCATAGACTGAGCTGATCCTTAAGGAGGCAGGCTTAGAAACCAAACATGTATGACTCTAAAATTTGAATTCTTTTCAATGTATCACATTGCCTTGAGAAAAATTAAGTTCAAAGATCAAACAACATCCCGCCTTCATTAAATAAAAAATCTTTTAGGATAAAGCTGACTCTGTACTTTCATGCTTAACTACTAGAATTTTTTTTTTAAAAAACATTAACTCATAGTAATAATTTTTAAAGATTTAACTTAAATGCATTTCAATTAATTAATTTGCATAACCGAATCTAAGCTCATTTTTGAGGAAGGAGATCTGCTAAGTGCACAAATGTCCTGTTGGTCTTTCTAATCTCCTCCTGGTTTTCAAGTCCAGAATGACAGCTCACGGGAGAGTGCTGAGAGCTCAGACTGGGAGTTTGTGGTAAAAGCAGGAAAGGCAGGTTCTGGTGGGATCAGAGCAGGTACTGCAGGGGAGACTCAAAGTGCTCACAGTGTCAACATGAAAATGAAGTTTTACTAGAGAGAAAGGGAGGGAAAAACAGGGAGGATGGCAAGGGGCAGTAATTCAAGGCCTGTAGCAGAGGATGTGTTCTAATAACTGTGCCCAATGATCTTGCAACCATTACGATATAAACTAAGGTTATTTCCTCCAAAGTCATTCCACACAGCATGCCTAACATCTCTTACTGTACTGGGGCATTATTCAATTCACTCTGAGGCAATGCTCACCTAAGTGATTTTCAGCACATCCTGCTATACCATCCTGCTGACTACAGCATGCCTCGTTTTTCACAGACATGATTGTACCTTCATGTCCCTGTTTAAGATAACCACAAGCGCAGTTCAGTTCAATTACCTGGATAGATCACACCGTGGGACATCTCACACCCATCTATGGACGAACTGTCTTTTGCAGGTTTCTAAATAATTTGCTTTCTCCTGCTTCCTACTTCTTGAGTCGGGAGGGGGAGGGAGGAAAAGAGCAGGGAGGGGAAAAATGATTTCCTTCCTCAGAAAATAAGGCAATATTAAGAATAATTCAGAATGGACTCTAACTACATAAACTACAACATAGCACTTTCCCCCTGTAATGTAGGAGTCACGCTCACTTTCTTATTTTGAGGTAAGGAGAAATAGCATTGGGTTTTTCTCCACTGCCTTAAGTGTTTTCCTTGCAAATGCAAGAGTAGGAGAGACAGAGCTGGGAGTGCAGTAACTGGGACGATTGGTTTCTTTGTGGTTACCTTGTAATTTCTGGTTGTATTCGGTCCTGTCAGACTGGCTCCTCCTCAAGGTACCAGAGTGGTCCCCAGAAACACTGCTCTCAACCACAGTGTCAGTCTTCCTTCTCTCCAGCATGTACAGCCTGGGTCTCAGCAAGGTCAGATTCTTTTTCTTGGTGCCCATGTTCTCTTTCCCAGTGGCTTCTTTGGGCTCCATCTGAGGCAAGGACAAGCTCCGGAGGCTTGCAGGCAACGGCTGGTTGCTAAGGTGCCTCAGGGTAGGGGTGAAAGCCACTGGAGGAAGGCGTTTAACCACCCCCTTCTAACTAAACAGCTTCACTCTGGGGTTACCTGGCCCTGACTGCCACCTGGAGTCCCAGAGCCCCACCCCTATGAGGTCATTCTTTTTTAGAATCCGAAGGGGGAAGCTGCCACCTGCTACCTGAGAGACCTGCAGCACAGAGCTAGGCAAAGCAGGGACTGCGCTGTCACGTGCTACTGAAGCAAACAAAAATCCCATTGTGTGGGGCATGGGCTGGGGGTGGGGGAAGAGGAAAATGAACGAGGAAGAGAAGTGCACATTTGAGTGACCTGCAGCTTGTGGGCGTAGTGTGTGCCCATGGGTGTGTTACAGGTGTACCCGGGCCACTGCCTTGTGCCCTGCTGCCTAGAGGCAGACGGCACCCCTGTGGCTTTTGGCTAGGGTCACTCACCTGCAACCCACGGAGCCACTGTGCAGCTATGGGAATTTGCATCACAGCGGTGGGGACGGGATCCTTTTTCATCTGTGCTGTGTACACTCAAAGGAATGCTCCTGCCTTCCAACATCAAACATTCAGTGACTATTTACTGAAAACAAAATTGCCAAGCCCTGCTCAGCAGTCCTGAGAAAATAAAGATTCACGTACCAGATGTGGAGGGGAAGGCCACAGAGGCCAAGCCTTTCCACTTCTCACTCGCCACATGCTGCCCTGGCCATCGCGTCCCATGTCCTGGTGCTTAGCAAGATAAGCACTGTGTCAGCTCGCCTTGGGAAAATCAGAGGAGGAAAAATGTTTGAAATGGAGGCGGCGCACAGAAGGGGAAGGAGGAAGGCAAGGACGGGGAGGAAGAAAGGCACATTGTGAGGAGAGCGTCATTCATGTTTTTGAAGTTGTTTTCCTTGTGCGTGTGGGCACCTCTCCAGGGGGAAAGCCTCAGAAGCTCTGGGAATGTGCTCAGAGCTTTGTATGCCCTTGTTAGGGAAGAACACAGAGACCCTGAGGAGAGAACAGACTCTCCTCTCTAGGAAAAGGAGAGTCGCAGCCAGCCCTGTGCTGCCCACTCCGACTCTCAGTTAACTCCTGTTAGATGGGATTTATAAGTGAGGGGGAGAGAGATTAAAAACCATCTTCCTAGCTCAGGATGTGGGGGCTGAACACAATTTGCATAATCATCTTAAAAGATAGATGACAACTCTCCACCCACTACAGAGACATCTATGTATAGTTTGGCATATTGAACGGTCTTATTTAATACAATTGATAGTCTTTTTTTAGCAAGTCCTCCCAAGTACATTTAATAAATACTTTTTTTTTTTTTTGACAGGCAGAGTTAGTGAGAGAGAGAGACAGAGAGAAAGGTCTTCCTTCCGTTGCTTCACCCCCAAATGGCCGCTACGGCCGGCGTGCTGTGGCGATCCGAAGCCAGGAGCCAGGTACCTCTTCTGGTCTCCCATGTGGGTGCAGGGCCCAAACACTTGGGCCATCCTCCACTGCCTTCCCAGGCCACAACAGAGAGCTGGGCTGGAAGAGGAGCAACTGGGACTAGAACCTGGGGTACTGGCACTGCAGGCAGAGGATTAATCTAGTGAGCTGCAGCACCGGCCAATAAATACTTTTAAAGGCACATACTTTTTTTTTATTTAATAAATGTAAATTTACAAAGTGCAACTTTTGCATTGTTGTGGCTTTTTCCCCCATAACCTCCCTCCCACCTGCAGCCATCCCATCTCCCTCTCCCTCTCCCATCCCACTCTTCATCAAGATTCATTTTCAGTTATCTTTATGTACAGAAGATCAACTTAGTATATACTACGCAAAGATTTCAACAGACTGCACCCACACAACCACACTAGTACTGTTCGACTAGTAGTTTTATCGTTAGCTCTCATAGTAAAACACATTAAGGACAGAGATCCTATGTGGGGAATATGTGCACAGTGACTCCGTTGTTGATTTAACAATTGACACTCTTATTTATGACATCAATAATCACCTGAGGCTCTTGTCACGAGCTGTCAAGGCTATGGAAGCCTCTTGAGTTCACAAACTCTGAACTTATTTAGTCAAGGCCATATCACAGTGGAGGTTCCTTCCTCCCTTCAGAGAAAGGTACCTCCTTCTTTGATGGCCCGTTCTTTCTGCGGGGATCTTGTTCACTGAGATCTTTCATTTAGATTGTTTTTGCCACAGTGTCTTGGCTTTCCATGCCTGTGAGACTCTCATGGGCCTTTTAGCCAGATCCGAATGCCCCAAGGGTCGATTCTGAGGCCAGAGTGCTGTTTAGGTCATTTGCCATTCTATGAGTTTGCTGTGTGTCTCGCTTCCCCTGCAGGATCATTCTCTACCTTTTATTATTATCTATCCTTCATTATTTGCAGACACTGGTCTTATTTGTGAAATCTCTTCAACACTTAACCTATCTATTTCATCAATTAGGCACATACACTTTTTTTTTTTTTTTTTGACAGGCAGAGTGGACAGTGAGAGAGAGAGACAGAGAGAAAGGTCTTCCTTTGCCGTTGGTTCACCCTCCAATGGCCGCCGCAGCCTGCGCGCTGCGGCCGGCGCACCGCGCTGATCCGATGGCAGGAGCCAGGAGCCAGGTGCTTTTCCTGGTCTGCCATGGGGTGCAGGGCCCAAGCACCTGGGCCATCCTCCACTGCACTCCCTGGCCACAGCAGAGGGCTGGCTTGGAAGAGGGACAACCGGGACAGAATCCGGCGCCCCAACCGGGACTAGAACCCAGTGTGCCGGCGCCGCTAGGCGGAGGATTAGCCTAGTGAGCCACGGCGCCGGCCTGGCACATACACTTTTAAGATATAAAAGGAGCTTTTTGATTCGTAAAAAAATCTAATTATTTTCTAATATTTACATATTCTTTTATATATAATGTGTGTTTTATATATATGTTATTCACCTGGTAACTATCAGAGATATTCTATTTAGAAAAATTACCATACTAAAATTGTGCTATTAAAAGTATAAGGAAGGCCGGTGCTGTGGCTCAATAGGCTAATCCTCCGCCTGTGGTGCCAGTATCCCGGGTTCTAGTCCCAGTCGGGGCGCCAGATTCTGTCCCGGTTGCCCCTCTTCCAGGCCAGCTCTCTGCTGTGGCCGGGGAGTGCAGTGGAGGATGGCCCAAGTGCTTGGGCCCTGCACCCCATGGGAGACCAGGAGAAGCACCTGGCTCCTGGCTTCGGATCAGCACGGTGCGCCAGCCGCAACGGCCACTGGAGGGTGAGCCAACCAGCTGTGGATGAGTGTAGCTCATAAAAGGCAATTAGCTAAGGTCACTGGTAATGTCTGAGGGGAGTGAGTGGTGAATTTTGTCTATTCTTTGATGGTTCATCTAGATACAATTTTCCACATTCATCTAGTGTCTCAAGAGGGCAGAATCACATACAAGCAAATGTAGAATTGTGTTATGTTCAAACAACTCCCTAATATATACATCTTGTTGGATGAATTTGTTTTTAAAAATTTATTTTTTGAAAGGCAGAATTACGGACAGGCAGAGGCAGAGAGAGAGTCTTCCATCTGCTGGTTCACTCCCCAAATGGCCACAATGGCCGCGGCTGGGTTAATCCAGAGGCTTCTTCTGAGTCTCCCGCGTGGGTGAGAGGCCCCAGCATTTGTTCCATCCTCCACTGCTTTCCCAGGTGCATTAGCAGGGAGCTAGATCAGAAGTGGAGCAGCTGGGACTTGAACCAGTCCAGTGCCCATATGGGATGCTGGCACTGTAGGGAGATGCTTTACCCACTATACCACAGCCCCAGCCCCTCTACATGATCTTTATGAAGAAAATATCAAGTCTTTCAAACTCCCCTTTAATCAGCCCATGAATGGGCAGACACTGTTAGTTACTTAATCTCCATTACTACCCCCATCTACCCTATGTCATTGCTTGACAGCAGAACCCCTATTTCATTCAAGGCATCATTATGTTTGGCCACCCAATGACCCTTTTGCTTGCTAGTGTTCTGGTCTCCCTTTGCCACTGGGGTGGCTATTTAACCCCAGGCCTGGCAAGTGGTAGTCAGCTGGAATGAAGAGAAAGGAATTGATTCTGGGGAAGCTTTTGCTTCTCTAACAAAAGCAGCAATCACAACTGGCTTCTACCTCCCTCTTCCTCTAGGCTTAACCAGAGAAGTAATGCATGGAGCAGTCACGACCATGCTGTGTCCATGAGAAAAGATTAAGAGATCTACAGGCTCCAATACCATACAGCTACTAAACCTATACCAGCAGCCATCCATGAGAGTAAAACAAACTGCCCTTCCCTAGGCCATTACTGGAGTTCTTTCAGTGAATACATTTCTAATGGATTTAACAGACAGTGCTTAGTATGCATGTAGAGTCACAGTTCTCTTTCTTACCTCTTTGACATTTCTGATGCCAAAGTGTTTAGAATCAGCAATATGCAACATGCAACATGATCTAATTTTTCTTGGAATAAGGATGGCTTGATCAGAGAAGCGTGGAATGTTTTGGCACTGGGGCACCTTCAAGAGCATCAGCAATGCTGGAGGAACCAGGCTTCTGATCTGTCCACACATCATATTTTTTGCAAAAGGTCAGAAAGTACTTCAAGGAATTTATATTACTTTGAGTAAAATACTGATATCAAGACTTAAACACATTTAATCTGGAAGGGGAAGGAGGCAGTTCTTGGCTCGTTATTAGAAAAAGCACCAGATGGTGAATCCAAGACCCAGTTTTAATCTTGGCCATGATGTAAATCAGTTTCATGATGTTACAATGGACAGAAGTCTAAGTCCCACTGTCTTCACCTGTAATATAAGGGATAGTTAACCATCACATGTTTTCAATTCTCCATTCAAGCACATGAAACTGTTGCCTTGCTCTGTGTTAGTGTTTCACTCGATGCATGTCCATATAACTTGTTTTAGCCTAATAAATTTATTGAAAGTGATTTTCGCCAGCACTGCGGCTCACTAGGCTAATCCTCCGCCTTGCAGCACCAGCACACCGGGTTCTAGTCCCAGTCGGGGCGCCGGATTCTGTCCCGGTTGCCCCTCTTCCAGGCCAGCTCTCTGCTGTGGCCAGGGAGTG